ATAATACTTACTCTCGATCAACTCTCCTTGACCACTCTTCGTATATCCATTTCCGCCAAATAGCAATTGCGCAGTTTGTGCGCACTCGTTCAGCACGATGCCACTTTGTGCTTTGACCATTGCGGTCAGGCCACCCAACTCGATGTCTGCTGACGCCTTCGGTAGGTGCACCATTTGGTATACGAATTGCTCGACCCATGCCCATTGTGACTCTAGAAGAGCACCAGCTTTCGCCAGGCGGTGACGTACGACGGGCTGTTCGACGAGTGGCTTGCCGAAGGCTTCGCGTTTGAGGACGTATTCCATTGCGGCGGAGAGGGCGACACGCGCTTGACGGGTTGCGCCGATCGCAATGCTGAGTCGTTCGTGGTTGAAGTTGGTCATGCTGTGAAGTTTCCCGTTAGCTAGAGTACTTCTTGAGACTGTCGTTATCTTACATGTACTTCATGCCCATACCCTCTTCTCCAATGAGATTCTCAACCGGCACTTTGACATCGTCAAGTTCTATGAAGGTCGTTCCTGCACTGACTTGACCGCCAACCTTCAGTCTGCGCATGTTTACTCCTGGGTTTCCTAACAAAGGCACGACCAACATGGAGAGACCTGTAGGCCCAGGGCCGCCAGTCCTGACGGCCATTGAAGAGTAGCTCGACCAGATTCCGTTGGTGATCCACTTCTTGGTTCCGTTGACGATGTAGTGTTTGCCATCGGGTGTCTTTGTAGCGGTCGTTGTGATGTTTGCGACGTCTGATCCGGCTTCGGGTTCGGTAATGGCAATGCAAGTTCGCTTCTTGCCGGTAAGGAGTTCGGGGAGGTAGCGCTCTTGGAGCTGTTTGCTGCCGTATTTGATAATGGGCGGCACACCGAAAGACATGCCTGTAGTCAGAGACCCAGCCGGTCCTGCAAGGCCCGTTCGCGCCATCTGGTGCGGCTGTTAGTTGCGCTCAAACTGGGTATTGGGAAATCCTACCTCATCTGCGTAGATCATGGTATGAATGTAATCCCATTCCTCGACCTTGACGACACCCAGGATGTCATGGATTCCGAGCTTCTTCAGCCATTCCACTGGCAACGGGGCAGGTAGTGTCGGTAGCAGCATGCCTGCTTTCGCGAACGTCTCAAAGACATGCTCAGGCACAGTCTCCTCCGTATCCCATGCCAGAGAATTCTCCAGGAGATGCTCGTCCACGAATTTGCGACACGCTTTCTGCCATCTCAGATGCGTCTCCTTGTAGTATGGAGATGGTAGGCCGACGATGTAGGGCGGTTCGGAGAACGGGACGAAAGCTGTGGAAGACATTGCGATGTTGTCGATGCGAGCCGAAGGTAGAGTAGAAGATGCGAGCGACGGGGCTCTGCTGCGTGTAGACTACATGATGGTGTTGCGCTCGGTATATGGAGAGGAGAAGTGGAGTCCGGGGTAGCTTCAGGCCAGCCGAGGTTCGCCAGGATTACACGCTTCTGACATGTCATGAACCGACGACTACCAGATCGAGGCGCAAGCCACGCTCCTTGGCCCGAGAAATCTAGACAGTTTCAATTAACGCTAAAGGGACAGATGGAAAGACTATATCAATCTACACTTACATACGAACTTCGGTCCCGAGGGCTTGGACATTGGTGTTGCGCGCTGTTTGGCATGTAGTCCGAATCAGGCAAGTTGCCAAAAGCCGTCGATTGCGGGCGTCTGGAGAGTTACCACAGGTCATCTGCACAACGATTGTCACTGCACGTATGTAGGCACGCATGAATGCCTCCAGAGTACAGATCTCGGATGCTGCGACCTCTGTCAAACAAGCACGGAAACTTCATTATGTCAAGCTAGCAGGCATCGCGTACAACATAGAATTCGTTCCCAGTTTATGCCATAATCCACTCCAGTATGCATTTGCAGTGTCGACTCGACTACCAAATTCCGGATTGGGATACCAGTCAAATATAGTCTGGAGTATGCAGATTGGCAACGACTGCAATCACTTCGTACAGCATGAGCATCGACTGTTGGGTATTAATACTTTTCATCGTCGTCGAAGCAGACCATTGCCGCTGATATCAGAACGCACATCAAACATATGGTAGTTCAAAGATCATAGAGACTGGTAGTATTCTGGCTATGTTTTTTAACGCACTCTACGAGGTGATTATGGTACATACTCTCAAGCTAAGGGTGTAATGGTAACGTAGCCGAGTAATCGAATGAATGTCAGAAACAAGGTACCGTAACTTACTCACATGTAGTTCCAGTTGTTGACTGGCTGGGGACGGTGAAGAGTCGTCTGTATCCTACGAGACGGGTGTATCAGCGAGAACTTCTAATCCTCCTCAATTTCACCTTCCTCGCTTCCACTGCGGAGGGCGCGGTCTTCTTCTTCCTTCTTAATCGTGCTGGCTGCCTCAGGAACAGGCGTCTTGGACTTGCGGTCAGGGCGTGGAGAGTAGCGAGCACGCTGTGACGAGGTTAGTGTCGTGTTCTCAATATATATGGGGCGTAATTTTGCGGACCTTTGTCTCACGATCGCGTTTGGAAGAGCTCTCGTCGCTTTCCCGACGGCGTCGAGCTGATGACGTGCGACCACCGCTGTCGCCGTAGTCTAGCAGACTGACAGTGGCCTCACGAGGATCGGCCCTGCTGACATAGGATCGCTCGCGTTCGGCCTCTCGCTCGCGACGCTCACGGACGTAGTGATCACCGCCAGGGCTGCGACGAGAACGCTCGTAACGATCGTCGTCTCGGCGCTCACGGCGCGGGGGAGGAGACAAGCCTGTACTGTCGTTGTTCCTGTAGCGCGCCTCCCTGTCCTGCACCGCACGACGGCGCTCTGCAGCATACGGGTCATGTTCAGGTGAGCGGGTTCGTGTACGATGACGACGATGGGAGTCAGAATGACCATTGCGATACTCACGATCTCGGTCACGCCTGTCCCTACTACGGTCACGGCCATCGCGCCTGCTTCGGTCTCTGCGATCGCTCTCCTTCTCCTTCAAGCGGGACATGAACTTGTCGAAAGCCGATTCGCGGAGGGTATCTGATTTCAGTGCGCGATACTCGTCTGTCTTTTCAACGCGGGGACGTACCACTTCCCAGGTGTCTGACAGCGACACCGGCGGATCAAGATGCTTGATGACTGACCGAAGCTTGTCCACAGTGGAGCGCTCATTGTACTCTTCGTCTTGGCGGTCTTGCTCCTCGCGCTTCTTGACCTTCGCAAGGACGTAGTTGTATATGCTATGCATGGACTGTTCGTCAATATCAGCGGTGCGAGGATCTTTTCGCATAACGATAAGGAAGTCTTCCACAGGGGTCGACGTGGTAACCTCGAAGCGTTGTTGCTAGTAGCACAGTTAGTCCAGTTCTAGTGGGGGGTTGGGGTTCAACATACCTCCAGTACATCAAGCGCCCTTCGGCGCAGGGTGCGGAACTTGCCCTCTTCCTCCTCCAGAGCATCACGGAATAGATCGAGTGGCGAGGATCCGCCCTGCCCAAGCATGGCTGTGTAGCGCGGTTCGTTCTCGATGTGACTGTGAATGTCCTTCCACTTGGTACCAGCGCGAAGCAAACCGTCCCTCCTAAGCTCGTCTAGAAGCTCGAGGAATGCATCACGGTTCTTGCGCTCGACGCGGTGCTTCTTGCGTCGCTCAGCTTGGACTTTGTCGTTGTGTTCGCGCTGGAGCTGCCTGATGTGCTTTTCGAATTGGTTCAAGACATCCATTCGAGTCAGAGTTTCGAACTTCTCGCTGTTGAACTCGTTGTTCTGCTCCAACTTTTCTTCAGCTGCCTGCCAACGCGTGAACGGCTCCAGGTCCAAGCCCTTCAGCAAGCCCATGACCTCATCGAGTGCAGAGCGCCTGCTCTCTGCCTCTTCCTCTTCGTGCGCCTTCTTCAAAGAGATGATGTATTCTTCGAACAGAGTCCTTCTCTCGTTGTCGTCCTTGGCTGAGCGGAAGATGGTTTCCTCTTCGATGATGGGCAGAGCAGTCTTCCAGCGTGTGTAGTACTTGATCTCGGGGTGCGAGCGCAGCATGGCGGTGAAGTCGGATCGTAGCTTGGCCTGGCGATCCTGCTCCTTGTGCTTCTCCTGGGCGCGCAAGTCTTCGCAGTACTTCTTGAAGGCCTCCTCGCGCTTCTCCGGCTCGGGAATGGCGCGCCAGTTGGGATCGTGGATACCGGCGCGGACGGCCTGCTGCCAGGTCCAGTCGGGCTGCACCTTCATCTGCCTGAGCACCTTCATGAAAGCAGCCTCGGCTTCCTGCGGAGTAGAAAACTGTAGCTCGGTGCCGGTCGTGAAGCTGATGTTGGGGCGGTCGCCGCCGAAGCCAGATTCACGGTCGCGCTCGCGATCACGGTCACGGTCATCGCGGCGGTCGTGTCGGTCGGGGCGGTACTCGTCGCGTTCGGGGCGTCTGTTGTCGTACGAAGGCGCGCTCGAGGCTGGTCCTGTTGGCCATCCCGCGGGACCGGCAGGGGGCGGGCGCTGGTTCTGCAGGCTCTGCCTGTACTCGTCGATCTTCTTCTGGACCACCTCGGGAATCTCCCACGTAGTCTCGCTCGTACCAGTTTTTGCGTAGTATCGCCTGCCGCCTGCTACGTGCGCAGTCCAGCCGGTGCCGGGAATTGCGCGCTTCTTAGCGTCAGTATTGTCTCGCTGTCGAATGATCATGAGATCAAGTACCTCTACATCGTCCTTGAGCTCGTCGGGCTTTTCCCACGTGGTTTGGTTGGTGGCTTTGTTGAAGTAGTACTCCTTGCCATCGGCTGCTGTCGCGACTGACCATACAGAAGCTTGAGCCATTGGCGGCGCGTAGGGTGGGCCGTTCATTGCGCCGGTTGTCGATGGTTGCGCGTGGGGATGGGTAAAGTCAGAACGCCTGTCTGCAAAGAAGTTGTGGAACTTACTGGCGCACGGACGGTTTGGGTAGCGCGGAAGCAGGACCCCTAGTTCAGGCACCACATTCACGTGTTCCTTCACATCTACCTTCACCTCGATTGTCCTGTGAAAATCATGGCAGACGATGAGGTGATACCACGCAGGAGCCTCGAGTTTGCCGAGAGCTCAGTGCTGGAAGCTGTGGTGCCTGCGAGTTCCGACATCGACATCAAGAGCGAGATCGACTCTTGGGATGGTGCAGCAGACGACAATGGTTCCATATTGCCGTTCCTAGCACAACGAAATGTGCTACTTCTCGGTACGTCTCCAACAATTCCCTACAATCAGCACGTCTCTTACTCATGCACAGGCCTTTAGATGAACTTTTAGCCGTATATGTTGTTTTCCAAACACCGCTGTTAGACGAAGCGACCTTGAAGTCGTACCTTGCAAGACTGGTGATCAACGTAGAGGCCTTCGCATTCAGTACGGTTCCCCCATCTGATCAAGATCCAAAATCTACGCCTCCCAAAGAAGTCATCTTCTCAGGTACCATCAATCACACAGATGAACCTACGGTTGTCAACCATGGTGAAGGGGACAGTGCTCATACCTATGTTATCTGGAAGGTGGATGTTTTCATAGGTGAGACAATCAGCCAATCTCTCATAGATCCTATCTAATCAACAGCAGCTCGCCCACAAGGCAGATTTCATAAGCCTGCAGTGTACTTCCAACCCACGGCCTCCTTCAAGCCAGAAGAAAAGCCTCAAAAAGACGCGTCAGAGGATGACTATCTCCCAAGTGGCGTACCCACACCCTTAAACCTGCTGCAGTCATTCGAGAATGATCCCGCTCTTGTCGGTGTCCATCCACGACTCTCAGCAATGCGTATCAGCAAGGTCACTCCAACTGCCCCTGCTGCAAAGGAAATGGCTCGACCGATTCGAAACGGACAAAGACCACTATTTCGTGTGCTGCCGCCTTTGATATGGAGGATACGTTATTCGAGGATTCAAGCATCAATAAGCGACCTGTCTTTGATGGCCTCTCTAGATCTGGAAGTCGCTCAATTCGCTACCTACGACGTCAGAATCAAAAAGGTCAGCCTGGCTTTGCATGGAGGCAAGGTTCAAGAGTTGAACGAAGAGCTGGATACCACGACGAGCCACAAACCTGGTGATCAGCTAACGTTTCTGTACAAGATCCGGCCTGATATTGGTACCGATGGAACACCAGCACTCGGGAGCAAGGGTCATTACTTAACGTTGAATGTTGAGGCAAATGTCACAATGTCCGATCATTGCCACCCAGACATTGCTATCGAGTGGAAGACACCCGTTGACTTTCCGTCAGAACAGGCGCTCAACTTGGCCAGGGCTAGTCGGCCGAGTAGCTCTACAACACAGAGCGCGAACGCAGCCAATCCCGACGCCCTTGTCACTCAAGATGCCCAAGATCAACCCGAACAGGACGCTTCACACAACGACGTCAATGTCACTCTGACAGTGTCTGGGCCGCCGAGTGTCAAGGTTGGCGAGATCTTCACGTGGGATGTGTTTATAGTCAACCGATCGGACAAAACGCGAAGGCTGGCAGTTCTGGTCATCGCGAAAAGACCGAGAGACTCGGGGAAGCACAAATCACATCCATCCGTCTCTTCTGTAGGCCGACCTCGAGCGGACAAGAAAGAGTTGTTTGGGACAGCGGTCGTTGACGAAAATGTCGTGTACGCTAAGCAAAAAAGTGCGAGAACCGATACGGCGGACTTGATCTGCTTGACAACTGACATACGGCTCGGGTAAGTCGGAGTAAGCAGAAGGGTTACAGAACGAATGGCTAACGTGCTCAGGCAACTCTCACCCGGCTCCTGCTACACAGCCGACCTCAAGTTTCTTGCGCTTTCGGCAGGAGTATTGTTCGTGGAATCGATACGAGTCGTCGATCTGGTCAGCAACGAAGCTGTCGATATACATGATTTACCAAGTATTGTTGCTGTAGCCTCGTGAGCTCGCAACACCTCCCATAGCTTAAACCATCTTTAGTCAATGAAGTGTGCGATGCAGATAGTGTCCCCCTTTTAATGTTGCGCCGTTACTTACAGTAGACCATGGACGGGGTCGTGCTTGTGACGCCGAGACACTGTGGAGCTCAGCAGGCGCTCAGCAGAGTGGAGCACAGATGCTACCACCGGATTTGGTCCACGAGAAAGTGCTAGACATCCGGGCTCCCAACTTTACGTCTTGGACATAGCTCGATAGTACGAGCCATAGGCGCGCGGAACTAGGCTGATGCCAGCCGTCGCTTGATGTCTGAAACTCGTCATTGGTCCCGGCGTGAAACTCTCGCCACTGTTGCAGCACCTCCGCACTGAACCCTGGGCTGCGGCTGCGCATCGCATGCCTCTGCTACACTTCCTACCACAAACCGCTCTTAATCACGATAGTATTGTCGCCTGCCCTATTTCCTTATCGCGCTTTTGAGCCGCAACAGATAGGACCACTTATAGCCGCACACGGGCCTGCGGCTACGTTTCATCAACGTCATCGCGATCTTCGAGCAACGCTACACCTAGAGCTTTTCACAGGACCCATACTAAACATGAACAGCACCAGACACAGACTGCTTTACCAGCTAAACAGCCGCTGGATATACGGGAAGATTGTGAGCCACTGCTCCTGATACTATTTGATGGTCGACTAATTATTCCCAGCCGCTGCTGCATTCAATAGTATTCCTGCTCCAAATGGCGGCCGTCAGCATGCTCACGCGCAAGTACAACCAGTACTATGCGGCGCGTCCAGTTCTCACCACGATGATCACCAACGCCGTACGTGCTCCCTTGTTATAAACGCCATGCGCATCGAGTGGCATGTCGCGCGACCGCCACACCGCATGTTGCGACTTCTGCGCCGAACCCGACATATCTTAGACATGACGAAATAGGGAGGCTAACACCATCTGCAGGTGTTGGGTGGTATCGCGGACACAGTAGCCCAGACGCTCACCGCCGTACGGGAGCGCGCAGTACGCAAGAAGGGCGGCCCAGGCAAGGACGACTTCCTGGCGATTGAAATCCACGAGCTCGACAGACGGAACCCGTTCAACGAGAACGACCTCATCCCCGACTCGAAGATACTCCCCCCGCCTTTCGATTTCGAGCGAACCACGAGATTCATGTCCTACGGTTTCCTCATGTCGCCAATCCAGCACAGGTGGTTTGGCTTCCTGTCCAGGACTTTCCCCGTTTCAAAGACTGCGACATGGTTGCCAGCACTCAAGCGCGTGGCTTTTGATCAATTCCTGTTCGCCCCAGCTGGTCTGGCTGCCTTCTTTACCTTCATGACTGTTGCCGAGGGTGGTGGCAAGCGTGCTGTGCAGCGCAAGTTCCAGGACGTATACGTGCCTGCGCTCAAGGCCAACTACATGGTCTGGCCGGCTGTGCAGCTCATCAACTTCCGAGTCATGCCCATCCAATTCCAGATTGTAAGTATCTTGCTCCAGGTTATAATGCTAGTGACTAACGTGTGCCAGCCATTTGTATCTACTGTGGGTATTGCTTGGACAGCTTACCTCTCTTTGACGAACTCGGCCGACGAAGCCTAAGCCTATCAAATTATGCGAACGAATTCCCATGTTTAAATATCATACGTACACATAAGTTCGGGTCATGGTGGCATCGGGTGATTCCCCTTGAGCGTCTCGCGCGTTAGCATGTTTGGTTGGGCATTTGCACGGCGTCAGGTTAGTTGACTTTGATACGGTCGATGTGTTATGTACAGTCTTGAATTTGATACAGAATGAAACTATCATCATGCACAAATATCGTTCGCCTTGCGTATATGCTTGGATTGTGTGTTTTACCAAGTCTCTTCATGTGGAGAGATCATGCAAGACGCGTTGCAACGATACCCCAACACCACTGAGTACTCTCGGCCGCGGGGGATGTCGACCTTGGCTGCCCACTTTGTCAAGCCCCAAGACGCGCGGGCAGCAAAATGTGTTTTACATCAGCTAATTTCTCTAGTCCGGTCACGTCAACTTGCTTTTTTGTGGTTCGATAAGGAGCGCGAAGCTTTGCATGCAGGAGAACCCGTGGATTGCCCCGCTACACCCCACCAAGCCTGCCCATGACGATCTGAAGCTCGACAACAAACATTGAACACCTCCCACGCTTCTTCCTTTCTCCAACTCATTGACGTAAGTGGACCTTTACTTGAGGTATATAGCTGGCAGTTGTATCCTTCGATTGATGCGACTAGAACTTGATTATACTCACACCATCACAGTACTACTATACACCCACCATGTCTCTCTCTAACAAGCTGTCAATCGCCGACGTCGACCTGAAGGGCAAGCGCGTCCTCATCCGAGTGAGTATATTCAGAACTTTGGTATGAAGTACAAATTCAATTCTAATCGCGACACACCAGGTCGACTTCAACGTCCCTCTCGACTCCGACAAGAACATCACCAACAACCAGCGCATAGTCGGCGCTCTTCCCACAATCAAGTACGCTGTCGACAATGGCGCCAAGGCCGTCATCCTCATGTCGCATCTCGGCCGCCCAGACGGAAAGCCAAACGCAAAGTACAGTCTCAAGCCGGTTGTTCCCGAACTCGAGAAGCTCCTCGGCAAGAGCGTGACCTTCACAGACGACTGCGTCGGCAAGTCGGTCGAGGACACCGTTAACGGCGCTAGCGGCGGCCAGGTCATCCTACTGGAGAACTTGCGCTTCCATGCCGAGGAGGAGGGCAGCTACAAGGATGACGAGGGCAAGAAGCAGAAGGTTGACAAGAGCAAGGTTGAGGAGTTCAGGAAGGGCCTGACTGCTCTTGGTGACATTTACATCAGTGAGTGTCCTCGGCGATTTGTACAAGTAGCATACTGACGGATTACAGACGATGCCTTTGGCACTGCCCACCGCGCACACAGCTCCATGGTCGGCGTCGACCTCCCACAAAAGGCATCTGGCTTCCTCGTCAAGAAGGAGCTCGACTACTTTGCGCAAGCGCTCGAGGAGCCCAAGCGCCCCTTCCTCGCCATCCTCGGTGGTGCTAAGGTCTCCGACAAGATCCAGCTGATCGACAACCTGCTCGGCAAGGTCAACAGCCTCATCATCTGCGGAGGCATGTCATTCACCTTCAAGAAGACACTCGAGGGCGTCAAGATCGGTGACAGCTTGTTCGACGAGGCCGGCAGCAAGACCGTCAAGGACCTTGTTGAGAAGGCGAAGAAGAACAACGTCAAGATTGTCCTGCCCGTTGACTACATCACCGCCGACAAGTTCGACAAGGATGCCAACACTGGCTACGCTGAGGACAAGGACGGTATCCCAGATGGCTGGATGGGTCTCGACTGCGGAGACAAGTCGATCAAGCTGTACAAGGAGGCCATTGGCGAGGCGCAGACCATCCTCTGGAACGGTCCCGCCGGTGTATTCGAGTTTGAGAAGTTCGCCAAGGGCACCAAGGCGACGCTCGATGCTGCCGTTGACGCTGCGCAGAGCGGCAAGATTGTCATCATCGGTGGTGGTGACACAGCCACTGTTGCCGCCAAGTACGGCGTAGAAGACAAGCTGTCCCACGTCTCGACTGGTGGTGGTGCGTCGCTCGAGCTGCTCGAGGGCAAGGACCTGCCCGGTGTATCCGCCCTGTCAAGTAAGTAAACCAGTCACTCATAGAAGTGAACGGCAGCTCAAGATGAGGGAAGGTATATCTTCGAAGTTATGATTGTAGCTATAGCTCTTTTCGGTTCAATAAAGATACCGCATTCCACCTCGTGGCCTATGGACGTGATGCGTGGAGTCTTTGGGCTCACTTTCTCAACCATGCATGTGTCTCGAGCTTGCCATATCTTCATCCGTCTGAAGGGTCGTCATGTCTTCCGTTCGAATCGCGTCTGTTCGTGTCGACTGTAGGTATCGCTCATTTGCCCAGCTTCTTAAGCTCCTCCCTGGTTGTTGTTAGCCCCTATACATTTCCAGTAGATAAGTGTCCTACCTCAGCTGAACCGCAAAGTCGTCATTCGTGTCATCATCGTCCCAGCTCTCTTCCCAGAGATGTGTGTTGCCGTTGGGGATCTGTGTCTCCTCCTCAGTCCAGTCTGCAGACACGTTAGCTTGATGCATCCCCCTTCAACCATTCCAACGTACCCTCTACAGGAAAGTCCTCAAACTCATCATCCTCCTCTAGCTGTGTCGCGGGCTTCTTCTCGGGCGCCAGTGGTTGCTCGCCGTTCTTGGAGTCGCTGACGACGGCCTTCTTCATGTCGTTGCTGCCTTGTGCTGAGCCGGACATTGTGACTGTTTCGGGAGATACGATCGGCGATGTGCTACGGTACGGTTGGGTGAGTCGAGTTGTGATTACGCGGTGTTGTGGCTTTGGTGATGCGGCTCTAACAGCGGAGGAGCAGCGGCGGCGATTGTCCGCAAGGCTTAGCGCGACGTCACGTGGTGCACCTGGCAACTGGGTTCGCGGGGTACGAGTCCGTCAAGGTCGCTGCTTGGCTCCGAGAAAGTTCCATGTGATGCATGGTGGTGCTTTGCTGTCGCCGTTGCACCTCATTCACTCGTTTCAAGCCGGACCTGGTGTGTGTTGGAGGGCAAAGTACGGATAATGAACATGACGTACACGTACTTTAGCTCCGAGTAGCCGGACGAAGCTGTAAGCACCGCCCGTCTGGTGGGCTTTAGTAGGTGTCTAGACACGCGCTCAGTGTCTTAGCTGGCGTATCCGCTTTACGCTGAGATTTGAATATACTTACTACCTCTCTTCATTCGATCTTTCTCGTGTCTCTCTTTCTCGGCCTCTTCTGGTTAACCTTTTTTCGACCAGTCTCTCCGCGGCGCGGGATTATTTATCCAGCATGTTCAAAGTCGGCGGTTGGCTCAAGGGCCATACGCCTGGGCATTCGAAGAGCTTAGATTCCTTGAGCGAAATGGCACAGAGTAAGTTCAAAAGCATGCATAGGTCAGGTAGGTACTAATACAACACAGTTGAGGATGCCATGAGCGGTACGAACTCCACCCAATACAGTGGCGCAGACAAGTCTAATCACACGCGAGCACAGCCGTCACTTATATCATGGCCGATGATATCGAAAGCGCCGAAGCACATCTTAGCAAAGGATCCAGTCCATTCCACCAGGTACACACCTACCTTCCAGCCCTCGGGCCCATACTTCGGTTCTAGTCTTATATCGTGTAGCTCGGAGCGGGTGTATGTGTCTTCATACGGGCGACGTTGGGTTTCGAGCCGGAAATCGTACGCGAAGGTCTGATCGCATATTCAACATGGTGTCAAGGAGATGCAGTGACTGACATGGTCGACAGCTGCCAATGCCCTATCAGTGGCCGAGAACTCCGCTTACGAACACCAACGCCGTATTAGCAAGGATCCGAACGCGTATAAATCGGCTATATACCCTCCAGGCACCGAGTACGCGGTATGCCAGGCAGAAGCACAGCTGATGAGTGCTGTAGTCGGTGTGCTCAACGAGAGCTTGACGGAGGCTATCAAGAGTTTCTACAAATTGAGGAAGGCATACCTTGCGCTGGAGGGTGTGATGGAGAATGAGAAGAAGTTTCTGGCAGAGAGGAGTACGAGCAGCGTCAACTCGGTGGGATCGCGCCCCTCTTCCAAGGGCTCGGCTCGATCAGTTGGGGCAAGCAATGCTCTGAAGAGCTCTCAGGGTCCTACGTCTACCGGGCCGTCCGCTGCAGCGTCGACTTCCAGTCTGAAGCAGTCTACTACAGTGACTGGACCGGCTGCGAAGAAGGCCACAGATGACGACGATGACGATGTTGACTTCGTGGATGCTCCAGAAGATCACACTGGCGGTGAAACGCCTGTGGAATATATGGGGCATCTCAACGTCGCCGCTGACAAAGGTGCTACTGTCGAGCTAGACAATGCTCAAAAGAAGGTGGATGTCGCAGCAAGCTCGGCACCAGGGCTTCCTACCACGAACGAGAACCCATCCAACTCGCTACCAGACGCTATCGAATACTTCGAGAAGCTTACCTTGAACGATGAGGGTGATGCTGATGCAGACATCGCGTCATTCAGCAACCACCCAGTCGATGTCTTCATCCTCTCCGGATCCAACTTTTGCTTTGGCATGCTGTTACTTATTCTTTCGTTCATCCCGCCGTCTTTTGCTGGATTACTGAAGATCGTTGGCTTCAAGGGTGATAGGGAGCGAGGAATGCGAATGCTGTGGCAAGCGACTAAATTCCACAACATCCACGGTGCCATGGCTGGAGTTGTGCTGATGGGATATATCAATGGCTTCACCAACTTCTGTGACATACTTCCTACCAAAGGCGAGGGGGCATACCCGAAGGAACGGTGTCTGGCTTTGCTCCGCTACATGCGCGCAAGGTACCCCAAGAGTCATCTCTGGCTACTTGAGGAGTCCAGGATGCTCGCCTCTGATAAGAAGTTGGAAGAGGCTGTTCAGTTCATGCACGAAGTGGGCGAGTCAAAGCTAAAACAGCTCGAAGCGCTTACATGGTTTGAACGCAGTTTGAACAACATGTACATGCACGACTACGAAGCTACCGCTTTTGCTTTCGAGAAGTGCATTGGCCTCAACAACTGGTCCCACGCGCTATACTACCACATCATCGCCGCCTCATACGTCGAACTCTACCGAAAACACAAGACGACCGACCCAACAAAGGCAAAAGAATATGGAACTAAGGCAGAGGAGTACATGAAGAAAGTCATGCCCAACGTCGGAAAGAAGAAGTTTATGGCCCGCCAACTCCCCTTCGACATCTTCGTCGCGCGCAAAATCCAGAAATGGGAAGCACGCGCCAAAGAATGGAACTGCGACATCGTCGACGCCGTCGGTGTCTCCCCACTCGAGGAAATGATCTACTTCTGGAACGGATACAAGCGCATGCGAGACGACCACCTCCAAGTCTCTCTCGCCAACCTGGCCTGGAGTGAATCACCAGCCAACCCGCACTGGGACAAGGAGGGCGTAGACGAGAAATCCATTCTACATGTCTTGCGCGCCGCTACCCTGCGTAACATGGACCAAACAGCTGAAGCCAAGGCCATCCTAGAGAAAGAGGTTTTGCCTGTTGATAAGTTGCTCATCACGGGTAACTTCAAAGATAACTGGACTGCGCCGTGTGCGCGCTACGAGATGGCCGCGAATATCTGGCGCGAGGCTGATGTGGATGGGCATCCGGAGAAGAATCCGCAGATGCTGGTGCAGTGTAAGGATTGGTTGGATGAGGTTACGAAGATGGGTGGGTTTGATTTGGATGCTAGGTATGTGACTTCTCGATCGATGTGTATGTGTTTGTGGCTGACTTGTGCGTAGGATTGGTATGAAGATCACGACGGGTAAGGAGACGCTGCGCAAGTTTGGGGTGCAGTGTTAGAGTGTGGTGATGAGCAGGGACTTTGTGTGGTCTATGGGTATGGGGAATACATATAGATGGTAGGGACGTAGAAGGATATAACGGGATGGAAGGGCATGGATACACAATAGTTCATCCTCTTGTCTCTGATATGAAGGCAGTCTTGATAAATACGCATGGATAAGTATCATACCAAGCATGCATCCACAGCCTGTGAACTGCTCTACGAGAGATCTCTTAGTTCCGTTTTGCATCTCCATGCTGAAATAGCCAGAAGCCGAGATCTGCTAGTAGCACATGGGCAGTAGCGTCTCCCTGAGCATGAGAAAAGCTCTAGAAAGAAGCACATCAACAATTAGAAAAGATGCCGCCTCCCTTTTGTCCGAAGTACATCTCGCCTGAAAGGCTCGTGTGCTCGACGTGTCCGCTTCCTGCAGTATTTTGGCACGAGAGTCCCCAGTAGCTCTCAGACCCATCCCGTATCATAACCCCCATCACGACTCTCAAGCCGATGTCTGAAACCCTGCCTCACAGCCTCCTTTTCTGTATTCGTTCGGCGACGGGCGCTGGGTTTACGGATATAGAAGCGTATCTCGGATATTCAATCATAATCTCATACTAGAGACGTTAGCACAATTCCTTTTCTTACTTTCCGCAATCTGCAGACATACCATCCAGATAATCCGCTGCAATCAACAACTCTAAACAAAGCTCGGGCGGGATGTCCATATCCGACACGTCTTTGCTTTCCGCGTGCTTTTGGTTGTAGTACAGGTACTCGCAGACCTTCTCTAGCACCACACCACTAGATACCATCATTAGCCTCTTCTATTGTGATATATCTTATGGCGGAGATGTCGCGGTACGGAGCGAGAATGGGAGGAAGGCATGGTTGGAGTAGACGTACTTGATCGTAGGCAAGTCAACGCGATTCTGTGCGTTTTCCCGGAAGCCAGCTATTGATGCGTTAGCCGGGTCATACGACATGTATCCGGGAAGAGCGACTCACAAAGTGGATCCAGTGCTTTCTTGATCGTGCCTGCTATGCATGCTGCTGAGCGGAGGATCTTGAACTCGAAGCCGTCGTTTGAGACGAGGGTGACGTATTCGGTGGGTTTGTCGTCGGCCATTGTGATGCGCGGTATGAGCTATAAGTCTAATAGCTTCTGGGTGTGGTCTGAAGGCGGGGTGGTTGGATATAGCGGCGTCGAGTGGGATGTTGTGTGAGAGACGGTGGATATCGCGGGGAAGTTGCGGAGGACAGCGCGCGCTGTCACGTTTTCTCGCGTGGGCGAACGTCGAGATGGGGGGTGGATGGCTTACATCACCCATCTACATTAGACTATACCGTCTTAACTTCTTGTGAAAGAGAGCCACTACGAAGACCAATTGAACAAAGATTCAAACCCAACGGCAATTCCCTCCCCACACACGGATTGACCGCATTTCACAAACACAAAGTACACCCATCCCACCACCATGGCGCACCGCCCACGACACGTCCTCATCACAGGCGGCAGCCGAGGCATCGGCCTCGCAATCGCACAACTCTTCTCCAAAAACGCATACCGCTGCACCCTAATCTCACGCTCAGAACCCGATCTGAAAACCGCCATAGCAAGCCTAACACCCCTCCCATCCACCTCATCACCAGAAACACCGTCGAACCCAGAGACACATGACCCTGCGGAACCACCATCATACCAACACGGCTACATCGCAGGCGACATATCCCTAGGTTCCAACTTCTGGCACTTGCACCCCTCGCGCCCTTTCATCGCTCACCTACCCAAGCCAGAGCGCACGGCGTTCTCGACACATCCTTCGCGCATCGATGTCGTGGTGAATTGTGCGGGTGTCACGCAGGCGAAGCTCTTCTCGGGATTGAATGAAGAGGACCTGGAAAGTATTGTTCGGACGAATCTTACTTCTATGATGCTGGGGACCAAGTTTTTGTTACGGTATGTAAAACTCAATCGCAACTCCTACTACTTGTGTTTGTGTTTCTGTTTTAGTAGCCATGTTGTTGACTTGCTGATGCGGGTGGTAGGAATGGGTATCTGAGAGGTAAAAGTCAAGCTGAAGATAAAGCTCCTGTCATCATCAACGTCAGTTCGCTGCTGGGTTTGCAAGGCGGCTACGGAGCCGTTGCGTATGCGGCGTCGAAAGCGGGTGTTTTGGGGTTTACTCGTGCTTTGGCTACGGAGTATGCGAGTCACAAAGTGCGGGTTAATGCTATTGTACCTGGATACGTGGAAACAGACATGACAAAAGGTACGCATGCCACGGTGTTGTTTGTTAAGGTGTGCTCTAACCACGGCCAGACCTGAATGCCACTGAGCTTCAGCAACGCATCCCATTGAATCGTTTCGGCAGACCCTCCGAAATCGCGCACGCAGCATTGTTCCTTGCAGAAAACCGATATGCACATAATTGTGTGTTGAACTTGGATGGCGGCTTATCTGCCGTCTGATTCCATTAACTTTACTACGCTGGTTGGTATTTTTCCCATTCAACTGCCATTCCGGCCTTGCAAGACGGCCCAGTGGCGTTCTCCAGATGTGCTTCCTTCCACCAGATGATCCAGGCTTAGGTATGTAACCAGTGAGTCCTCCCAAAAGACGCCCATGCCAAACGTTTCCATGCGACTGATCGGTGTATAGTACAAGAAAAAGGAAATCTATATGCCGTTTGCGCTTCGGTAGCGCGCGGTTTGTTGGACTGGTGATCGAGGTGCGGAGATGTGGTGGGATGAGTGGAATGTCAAAGACGCTTGAACGCTGATGATCCAATGGCGGGACGAGAAGAGTGAAGTATATCGAATACTCCAATGATCGTCTGTAGATAGCCAAAACAATCATGAGGTCCAAGGTGAGGACGATGCGCCAAGATGCGGGCAGCAACCCAACTTTTGTAGAAGGTTTATTCAGTCGTCATCAATGACAATTGCTCCGTCCTTGTCGTCCTCAATGGTTATGTGGCCGTCGTCTTTCTTCTGCGACTCCTCCATGACCTTGCCCTTCTTTCGGACGAGGTCGTCCTCCAGGCCGGCTTGGCTGGCTGTGCGCTTCGCAGCACCGTTCGTGCTTCCGTTCGTGACACCATTGGTAGCGGCGCCGTTGACAGTCGCATGACCATTGGTCTCTGGCGCAGGTGCCTTGGGTTTGATCGGAATCTTGATCTCGTCGGGTAACCTGAGCGGATTCGCGTTCTCGGTGAACTCCGTGTGTATGATGCAGAGCACTAGGTCGACCTTTGCGTCTTCTTCCGAGTCGTCAGAAACCGTGAGGAAGGTGTCGTTCATCAAGTTGAGTTCCTTGAAGGTCTTGTCCAGATGAATGTCTTCGTCCATGTCATAGAGTATATCTGAATCGCGCTTGACGCTGAACTCTTCTCCGTAGCCGAGCTTCTCCTTCAGGACCATGTTGATCAGATCGCTTAGCTTCGCGCGCGGTGTATCGACGTGCAGGGTGGCATAGCATACACCACAGGTCGCACAGTGGGGATTCGGTGGTCGGAGTGATTCGCTCGAAATGACGCGCTCGGTACTGCGGGTGAGGAAGACCATCTTGGCTTTGTCGAGCTGATCGCGCATAACCTTGAAGGCTTGTAAGACGCAGAGACTGGCCGTCATGGCGTTTGTTGTCGCAATGGCGGGAATGATGTTGCCAGCCATTTCTGTGATCTGTTAGCAGCTAATCCAGCCATGTGTGGGCGCTTTCTTACGCTTGATGTCAAACTTTGACCGCATCTCGATGCCGAAGATGTGTGAGCGCAGATTGGCACTCGCAACGACAAAGTCGAGCGTATCTACATCGTCCTTGTCGAAGCTGAGAATAGGTGCCGCATTGCCAACGTCGGCATTTGCGCGCGTCTCTTCTAGGCGGGTGCTGAGTCGCTTGATACTGTCGACGAAGACGGCGAAGTTCTCGGCTACATTCCATGTGACTTGGTCTTGCTGCGCGATTCCCGTGCCCACACCCAGTGATTCTTGCATAAGCGCGTCGTAGTCCAACGCCTCTGGCGCCCGTTTGGTCTTCCACATGTCTTCCATGCTCCGTAACCGCTCAATGTCCTCTTTGAACACCTTGTCGAACACCAGTCGTGGGAAGTCTTGGGAACCCATGGAATCGCGAATCCGCTTCAGCGCTTGTGCCTCCTTCTGGAGGTTCGCGACTTCGCTTGCGTTGTCGGCATCTTCGCTGTGATCCAGCTCGGGCGCTTCGTCTTCCGAGGTGCCAAATATTTCGGCGAACAGATACGACTTTCCCCATACTATGCAGTGGATGGGTTGCGAGGGTGTGCTTCGGATGGTGCATACGGGGAAGGACTTGGGCGCGGCTTTCGGCGTGCAGTCATAACATTCGGTTTCGCCCTATGATACAATTAGCACAATCGTTCAGTAAGGTAGTCGCATTGAGGTCGCGCACCCGCTTGATAACCTGGACCTGTCCATTGAAGCCGGTCGTGCCACTCTCGATCAACGGCACATTGGCGGCAAGGCACATCCTGTTGACATGTCGCCGCGCATCGAGGTTGTCCAGCGCATTGAAGACGAGGCCGAAGCTCTGGAACCACGCGACGTTGAACTGGCCATCCTTGATGTTGTCGTGGTACGCAACAATGCTGACGTCGGGATTGAACTTGCCGGCCGACTCTTTCGCAACCTATGAGCTGTCAGCGCAAGGCCTTTGACTTGCTTGTAAGTAATGTTGTGCCGTACCAGTGCCTTGGACTTCTTGATGTGCTCATTGCGGAACAGGAACTGGCGGTTGAGGTTGCTGAGATCGATGGTGTCGAGGTCGACGATGTGTATCTCGCCGAAGCCGGTGAGGACGAGGTTCTTGAGGAGTTCGCAGCCAATGCCGCCAGCTCCTACCATCAAGACGCGTGACTAGAGCGCATTAGCGACTGCCTGATACCATGTTTGCGCGTAGTTGCAGCTACCTCTTTGATGCGCTGATGGAGCGTGCCACCGAGGCTCTGCCGAGCAAACTTGTCGCGTGCCATTGCGGGTTCGGGGGTGGGAGTAGGCGCGAGCGAGGTTGTGGTGCGGGCGAGGCTACGACATGCGAAAGTTGGCGAGGTGCCCGTCTCAGGTGAAGGCGACAGGTGAGAGACGTCAGTGCAGCTGGTAGCGCCGCTCCACTGGGCCTGCGCCGCTCGCGTTCAGCCTCCGAAGCTTGGCACCTAAACGAGCGCCCTATGAGTGGATCGTGGGCCTCTGAACTGCCGGGACACACTCTGGCTGCTGCTCGCTACGACAAAAAAACTTGCTTGGGAGCCTGGTGGAGCTTACTAACGACATATACGAGCCGCCGCAGAAGTCCCATTCATCACGACTACCGGAACCGGAGCTAGCGCACACATCCGTCCACCATCATGTCGGACGACGAAGTTGACCATGAGCTGCTAGACCTCATGCGGAAGCATTGGGGTGGTGGTGCCAAAGAGGAAGGTCCGCCTGAAACAAAAGTTCTGGAAAACGCCCAGTTCATCTGCGATAACAGCATGGACGTTGCCCTTGACATGCGCTCTACCAAGGTCGCTGCCCAACTTGTGCTTGACGAGATGGAGAAGCGGGAGTACTCCACCAAAACATGGTCAGAGCATGAGCTGCACCCCAAAGCAAAAGACGAGAGCACTGTCAATTTCATCTTCACAATGGATCTGCTCAACTTCAGTTTCTGGAGCGAGAAGAGCGACGAGGAGCGCTTCGCAGTAGTCTACAAGGGAAGAAGATGGACTGGCTATTGGAGTCTGGTTGCCATTCTACAAAGAGCGTTGGAGCAAGACATACCCATCACTAGTCCGGAATTCTGGGTTGACGAAGAATTGTGTTCGGATGAAGTACTGCGAACCGTATTCTCTTCTGGTACCGACGAGGAGATCCCCATGTTCGAGCAAAGGATGCGATGTCTAAGAGAAGCAGGCCAAATCCTAGAGGAGGTGTGTTTGTGGTGCACCGCCAACACAGAAGAGCAAGTTGACTTATGACTGACGTTGCAGGAATTTGACGGTAGTGTCGTCACACTTATTGAAGACGCGAATAACTCCGCTGCCGCCCTTGTGAATCTACTCGCCGAAAAGTTCAACTGTTTCAGAGATGAAGGTAGGTTCGATAATAAGAAGGTGCGCTTCTTGAAGCGAGCCCAAATCTTTGTTGCAGATCTGTGGGCTGCGTTCGATGGCGAGGGATATGGCGAGTTCAACGACATTGACAAGATCACAATGTTTGCAGGTAAGACATCCTGGCTCTAGTTGACCTATAGTCCGACCGACTGACGCATCTATAGATTACCGCATTCCTCAAATGCTACACTCACTAGGCATAATCTGGTACTGCCCGCCTCTGGAGAACAAGGTACGCCGCCTTGAGACCATTGAGTCTGGCCACTCCTGGGAGATGCAGATCCGAGGATGTAGTATCTGGGCTGTAGAGCTTCTCCGCAAGGAGATTCTGAAGCTGAAACCGGAGGCCAAGGTCAACGCTATTCTTATCGACTTCTTCCTGTATGATCTTGCGAAGGAAAAGGAGAAGGAGGAGGCAGACGTCATACCACACCATCGGACGAGAAGCATATGGTATTGAGAGCCAAGAACAGCGGTGCACATGAAACCGAATCACACATTTGGGCGCCCTATCGCTTTCTGATCGGTGGGAATTAGTAGTTGGTCACTTCGTGGAGAGGTCAAAGGCGGTGGGGTCGCTTCGAGCATTCGCCACTTCCAAGTTTGCGCAACTTCCAGAGACAACGCACATCTCAGTTGTCGCATAACGGCACAACACCAACCGCTGGATTCGCTCTCATGTCTTGTCCGCGCGACAGGCTGAGGCTGGGGCATGCAACGTTTTCTTGGCACCGTTACGCCTTCCCAGTTATCGTTAGACGCCCGTGGTAAGGCTGGCCATTCAACCCCCGCAACGGCCTTACCTGACCCTGGTCTCCAGTATTCGTAGACAAATTACGATCATACTGGTGATCATTATAGCACGGATGAAGCCGCCGGTCACACATTTTCAGTAAAGCAGGGGTTTGACAACCGGGCCTATTTGCCAATTTCGGTGATTCGGGCGGGTGTTTGCACGATAGCAGCGCAACGATGAGCACGTGTGATCCACACTCTATGTCAGCAGTTCTCTTGAAATATCTAGGCACTTGGCCATCTGTCTAAGAAATTTCATCTTCGACCGACTCTCGCTTCATTCATTATTTTCATTTCGTAAGGTTCCGTTAGCGGCCTAGCTATGGAGCAGGTGAGAGTGGTGGCTTAACTCATTCACATTTATGTACAAGTGCTAGCCTGCAAACACTCACCTTTCTTGACATTCGAACCGGAGTTCAGTTCCGCCAGCAGCAGCTCCTCTGACCAGAGCGCCTCCCACTGAACGATGGGAAACCAACAAAGTTCCGCCGTCCAGCAGTGTCTGGAGCAAGCTGTCGGAAAGGATCATGTCGCCTTCAAGAACACACCACTCTACCAGATCTCACACGTCAAGCCCTACAACCTCGGTGTTCCGGTGACACCAGCGGCGGTTACCTACCCCAAGACGGCCGACGAGGTCTCCGCGATTGTAAAATGCGCAGTCGACAATAGCCTCAAAGTTCAGCCACGATGTGGTGGACATTCATACGCCAACTACGGTATCGGAGGTCAAGACAACACCATTGTAGTCGACATGAAAAACTTCCAACAATTCTCCATGGACAAGTCTACCTGGCAGGCCACAATCGGTGGCGGTACGCTCCTTCGCGACGTCACTGAGCGACTACACGACAACGGTAAACGCGCCATAGCCCATGGAACTTGTCCACAAGTCGGAATTGGAGGTCATGCAACGATAGGTGGCCTGGGACCGACTTCACGCATGTGGGGCTCCACTCTCGATCACGTAGAAGAGGTGGAAGTAGTCTTGGCGAATTCGACAGTAGTGCGTGCTTCCGAGAAGCAAAACCAAGATATCTTTTTCGCGACAAAAGGCGCTGCAGCCGGTTTCGGCATAGTCACAGAGTTCAAGATGCGCACGCAGGCCGAGCCCGGCGAAGCAGTCCTCTACTCGTACAACTTCCACGGCGGCTCGTCTGCATCAAAGGCTGAAGCGTTCAAGCAGTGGCAGAAGCTCATATCGGACCCGGCCCTTTCCAGGAAGTTCGCGAGCCAGTACATCCTCACCGAACAGCTCGGCGCCATCATCACAGGCACCTTCTTCGGCAGCCAAGCCGAATTCGACAGTCTGAACATCACATCTCGTCTCCCAACCGGTTCGGCTCTGGAATCGATAGAACTAAAAGACTGGCTGGGTGTAGTAGGCCACTGGAGCGAAGACATTGCTTTAGAACTCGTTGGCGGAATACCATCCAACTTCTACGCGAAATCCCTTTCGTACACCGAAAAAGATATCATACCCGACGAGACCATTGACAAGTTGTTCAAGTACATCGACGAAGCAGACAAAGGCGGTGCACTGTGGTTCATCATCTGGGACCTTGAGGGCGGCGCTATCAACGACGTTGCGCCTGATGCTACAGCCTACGGTCATCGTGACGCGTTGTTCTACCACCAGGCTTATGCTGTTAATCTCTTTGGCAAGGTCAGTCCCCGTCCCATCTCAAATAGTCTAGCAAGCGTACTGATATCCCACCAGGTCAACGACAAGACTCGCAATTTCCTTAATGGCTTGAACAACGTCGTTCTCGATGCGCTGCCCAACCACAATCAAGGAGCTTATGCAGGATATGTGGGTAAGTTCTGACTGTACGAAGTGCATGTGAGACATATACTGACTTCGTACCTCTACCTCTACAGATCCTGCACTGGGTGAGAACAGCGCGAGTCTGTATTGGGGCGGTAATGTTGAGAGGTTGGAGCGGATTAAGGCGGAGGTTGATCCGTTGGATGTGTTTCACAATCCGCAGAGTGTACGGCCGGCGAAGAGATAGGTGGAGAAGAGGGTGCTGTTTTTAGATAGAGGGGTGTAGCTTGGTGATGTGGTTCTGCCTGGCCTGGAGGCTTAGGCTCGGAACAAGTTTCTTCTTATAACAACTCTTTCGAAAATCTGTGCACGATGTCGCGATTAGTATGGTAATCGTGTGCGATGACATGGATAATTCCCGACTTGACAGCTGTCTTTGGCCGAACTTGTCTGCGCTAATGCTTGATATTGTACAGATACATGACTGTAGGACTGGGCCATACCACATGTGTAACCCAACATAGCGCAGTTGTGACCGGTTGTCTCATGCGCAACGAAGGACACGAACTAACCTTCAATACATAGTATGGGCTACGTCGTCGATCTATTTTCCTCTCGTCACCTCAACTCCAAAATATCTCCTACGTTATATCTACTGCATTCGCTAACCAATTCCCTTCAACTTAAGACATCGGCAGCCGCTCTCGTTGCAGAAGTGGTGACTACTCAACAGTCAGCAATGCCCAAAGGACACACCCGCTTCACGATGCGTGTTGGCGACGGCGTACCTAAGAAGCCTGTCGTACCCCATCGATGTTACCGCCGTGAAAAACTCGATCGAGAAAAGGAATTGAAGAGTAGGATCCGCTGTAACAGTCATTCTGAAGCATTGCGCGCTGTGGCGAACGTTACTACTACTACTGCGTCTATTCCAGCCCGTTCTGACATGGCGAACGTTAGGGCATTGAGCGTGTCTGTAGCCATCGTCGTTACAGCTGCGCTCTTCTGGATTTTTCGGGATAGGTAGATTGGCAGAGCAGACGTTGAGTTGTGTTGAGTTGGGTCTTGACAATCCTTTCGCTGTCGTGATTGCTGGCTGTGCGCGAATGAGACGGAGGCTGGCTTCTACATGGCTTCAGCGAGGATTTTCCGAGAACTTAATCACGTTAATCAACAGAATGCGCGTTTCTACTGCATCTGAAAAGAGTTATTCACATAACAGTTTGGATAGTCCTGATTTGGTGAACGGTGGGGTCGGTGCATCGGGACGCTGGAAGTGGCCACCTCTACGTCGATTACGCGACTGCCTACAATCTTACGATCCACGTATTTTATTTGTCGGGGCTTCGTTTGCGATCGACGCTTTCTGCTGCAATTATTCGAGTTGTTGATGGAAATCCTGTGCTGCGTAGCGAATGTGTGACTTGTCGAGGTGGCAAGCCCTGTCTGTGCGGTCGATGCACTAAAGATTTTCGTCCCCAGCCGATGGACCCTTGCATAATTTCCACTACTCCTTCCATCGATATCATCAGAATCAAGTGCGTAGCTCACCTACATTGAGCGTATCTCTCCCCAAACTCCCAATTCCAGGCAATTGGTCATGGGCCGTTCGTTCACATGTTGACGTTGCGCCGGTACGCACCGTGCGGCGCGTGTCCTGTGGTCCAATCAGGATGTCGCGTACCAAACAGAGCACTTTGCTGACATGCTCCAGTCGTTCCGTAGAATAGGCTGCGTGCTTCTGTCATGATGCCGCGGAAACCTTTCCTGGGATTGAGGCGTTTTCGTCGTCATCTAACTCTAAAGCTGTTTGGCCGCCCCGACACATTCACAAACCATCTGAGGAGTTTCTTAGGCTACGATCGTCGGCCAGAAAACATGCAGAAACTTGGAAGGTTATTATCGGGGGGACGCAGCCCGCTACCTGAGCATTTTGGTCGAAAAGCTCGTATACCCGACCTTTTTGATCGGAGAGATCAAGTTTACCTGGCGCTTGAGGCCCAGCGGTTGCATTGGCATATGCCCCCACCGTACGCCTATCATGATCTGCTTGACGCTGCAGCGAGAGTGGGCCGTATTGAAGGGATCATGGGCTACAAGTTCAAAGACAAGATGATCTGCATCGAAGCGCTCAAGACCACTTCGGCGACTACACCGCTTTATTTCAATGGGGTCACTCATCACATAGACAAAAACAACCGCCTGGCATTGCTAGGTGATCGAGTTATCTCTTTAGCTCTATGCGATGTTTGGTTCAAGACAGGAAATACCAATGGTATGTACTGCATATAGCTCTGGTGCTTAAGCTAATACAGCGAATAGCGGAATACACTTCGATGCAGCCGGATATAGAAAGCAGAGTTGGTTTGGGTAAGAAAGGATACGCGCTCGGTATAAACGACAATCTGCTTCTTCACGAGCGGCACCCCTCCACATTCAATCACGTTGCCGAGGCCTTCGAAGCTGTTCTTGGTGCTATCTACTTGGACTCTGGGAACAACATCGAAACCGTCAAGGAAGTTATCACCGGAATCAAGCTCGATCGTCACAAGGGATTAGAAGAGCAGACTACGGCCCAGGATCGTCTGGACAGTAAAAGACTTGCGGCGCTACAGTACTCTGATTATATGATGAACCAAGCTGCGTACACTAAAAAAGCCCAGCTGGAGCATGATGCAGCACTGGCAGCGAAAGAAGCAGCAAAACTGGCGGAAAAACAGGTGGCAGATCAGCCTAGAGAGGAGGCGCAAGAAGACAATATGTCCACCAAAAGTCAAATATACGATGGACACTCGGGAACAGTTCAGCCTCAAACTAAGAAGAAGAGCAGCGTTGCGCTCACACATGCGGAGGCCTCGAAAAATCTAGCCGATTCCGTGATCGAATATCGCACGAATGGTCACCCGAGTGACGCAAAGGATCTGGGCCGACTTGCTAGACAAGACGCGCAACGCCAAAGTCCAGCCTCGAAGGGAAAAGCACCATCGCAGAATGCCAATCAGGGATCAGATTCAAAACTGCAACGACGCGCGGTCGTAGCTGCCAACAAGCTATCGAAAGAAGGCTACCTATCAAATAATGTCTTGGAACACGATGACAAGAAAACTGTCTCTGTACGCCAAGATTTGACAGCATCTCACGTCGAGAACCAGGACAAGGTAGTTACCCGAGGCACCAAACTATCGCCGGAGGAAGAAGCAGATGAGTTTGTCGCATCGATGAAGTTTCCAGCAGAAATAGAATCATCTGAGGGCTTGAAAAGCAGTGAGAAACGCATCCTGAGAATATCATGGGACATGGCGGTACGAAAATGCGCCGACAGCATCAGAATTAGCGAGGAGAGAGACTTTGAGGGAACGTTTGCGCATAGGTTGAAGCGAATGGTACGGTACCAGGTAAATGCTGGTTTAGTAAAAAACGAAACGAAAGAAACGATTAGGCTTCTCCGCCTGTCAGCAAGGCTTCGAGGCCACAGCTGGGGAGAAAAACAGGAGAAGACATTTCGCAAGACCAATTCAAAGGTTCCAATGAAACCTAGTCGAGAGACAACACAGGCACCGGTGAGTGTTTCACCAGAGCCGAAAGCTGCGACGGCAACGAAAGCAAATCCTACACCACAAGAGACAGATCCTGCACTGGAGATAGTAGACACTGTACTAGAGAAAGCAGAGCCTCTACTAAAGACTGGTATGAACAACGATAAGCCAGCCCAAAGACGCTCAAACTCGCCAAAGGAATCCCATCTTGCAGAAGCAGCCACCACAGAGATGGAAGATGAGAAGAACACACAAGTGCGCACCAAGGATGTTGAATCACTGGAAAGAGATATTCTCAACTCGCACAACACCGTATGGCAAACGGCCGATACCGCAGATGCGTCAACATCAGAGCAGCACAGCGGACGCACAACTCGTGCACGCCGTTCTGCTGCGGATGGCCAGGCGGAGAATCCATCTGCTCCAAACGAATTTTTCGAATCGGACACGGACAGATTCATGTCTACCATCACGCAAAATGATTCAGAAGCGTCCGACGCCCCTCAACCGAAACCTCATGAGGAATCTGACATGCAGTCTTCGGAATCTTCCAAAGAGCTAGAGGAATCGCCCGCTCCGTCTGCAAGGATAACATATCCCAAACGTCCCAAACGAGCCACGCGTCGTCGATCACAACATTCATGATTGCTTTTGCTCCTGGCTACAGGTACGCCAGCTGCTTGTCTATTACCGTATATGCGTCGATGCATGTGTACAATACCTATAGTCCGAATGTATGATAACTCAGCGAGAGATGCCTTTACAGTTGTACATCCATGTCTAGAAGAGTACGTGTAACATATTTGTCGCAATATCGAGATACAGAATGCGAATCTGCATTTACCCGCTTCCAGAGCCATTGACGTCTGCTTTTGAGGTCTTGCAGCCTGGCAAAGGCATCTATCTTGACCAATTTCACAGGAAATTAACGATTAGTGAGCTACTGAACATGTCGCCAAGTATCAATACGAGTTGTTGTCGTCGGTTAAGTTGGCATCGCGTCTGTGCATTAGGCGGCAACCTCGAATGTGCTAACTTCTTCTCTACCAGCGGCACAGCGAGATGTCTACTAAAGTACCATGTTCCTCGCTCCAACCCTCAACGCAAGGAGTTGGCAGAAGTCGATTTCAACATGGCATCCCACAAGCGCCCACGACTTCCACCCACCCAATTAGCCGCCATAATGAACGACTATTACACCTCTTTGACCACTCTCTACATACCATGTTCAGCTTTGAAACATCCGCCTCTGGGTGGTTGGCCGAACATTACTGCGGGGGCGACAAAGTGTCTGGACAAATCGCATGTTGTCATTGAGGTCATGAATCATTTACCATACATTGATGAGGCTGAGGCCGGCGAGATGATCACGAACATTCACTACAAGAGCGACGTAGTAGATTACTCCACATACACAGCTGAGGACTTCGAGAAATGTGATGTATCGTATGGAGAGGACGGACTCAAAGTTTGCATTAAAGAGATGGAGGAGCGGAGAAGGGAAGATGAAGAGCAGCAGGAGCAGGATGAAGAGGAGGATGACGACAGCGAAGACGAAGAAACCAATAGCGACGACGAGCACGCACCGCATGACGAAGGTTACAGTTCCAACGAAGAAGAAGACTTCGGCGACGACCCCGACGACGTCGACATAAAAGACATCCTCCTCCTATCCATGGGCTACGAATCCGGCGGACGGATCCTCCTCCTCGACGTACACAAAGGCATCATCCACGAAGACATAGTCCGCTGCCAACTCGTCTCTGGCGTATGGATAGAAGACTTCTTCGACGATATGAAGGACAAGCTCCGGAGGCTGGATTGCGTACCCGTAAGAGGCGAGTTCTACGAGGGCGTGTCTGAGGTGGAGGATAATGGGTCGGTGCCTGAAACTGCGGATGAGTCTTTGGATGAACATGACGAGGAGCATGTGAAGGTATGCAAGAGGATTTATCGCAAGTTTGGGTGGCCGGGGGAGGGGTATAGGAAGGATGAGGCGTTGGAGGCGGTGGAGAAGTATCGGGTGAGTGCTTGGGGTTATTGATGCGGAGGTTGTGGTGACGAATGGAGTTGATAGAATGAATCGGAGAAGGATACCATAAACGAGTTATCCTAATGCTGCATAACCGTAGCCGTTGCACTGATTACAGTAGCAACCGCGGTGATACCATAACGCCACGCATTCGTCCTTGCCCATGTCTCAGCAATAGTCTTCATGTCCACCTTCTCAGCCCATTTCTTCGCGGCCTCACTCGCCGTATCTTTATCTGTACCCTGACCAGCACCCTTCAGCACAACGCTCTCATCACGTAATATCTCTTGTGCTTTCCACTTTCCCGCGCCGTTCACCCCAGGCTCCATGTACAGGGCTGTGTACGGGATGATACTAACATTTACAATTCCTGCAACAGCGTACAGGAGCCTTGCGGAAGAAGATTGATCATTGCAAAGGTAAGCGAGGAGAATGTTACTTGAAGCGCCAGATATGATGAGAGGCGCGACGAAAATAGGTGCGAATTGGTAGGCTTGAAGCCATTGCTTTGCTAGGAGTTTTGGTGGGGCGTGCGTGATGAGGGGTGGCATGACGACATGACTGTATGCGAAAGTGAAGCCTGGTGAATCACATTGTTAGCGGACAATTGGGACGGGTTTTGAGGCTGGTATACCTGTGTATATCGCTGGCGCAATCGTTGCGATCGCTTGCAAGATGGGCACCATGGGGATGGAAGACTCGTTCATCGCGGTTGGTTACAATGAGATGGCGCACGACGTGCGGTTGAGAGAATATGTCGTACGCAGGATACTGTAGGAGTTATCTGAAGTGATCTGTCAATAAAGCGTAGACGTAGGCGCTTGGGGTACAGAGCTGACGTACTAGCGCGGTGTTTTGGATGCATCAGCATGCCTTAGCTGCATATTCTGGAACAACAGTAGAACGAACGAGATCTTCCAAGATCTACATGGGCTGAAGCATGTATTTATAGCATCGATATGATCTGCACCTAGGCTTTTGTGCAACGGCGATCATGTCGTTTTGCGCAGCCCTGTCGTGAAATCAGATGAGCCTTACTTGTACAGGTATACTACAACTGATCCAGCAATCCCAAGACCTCTTGCCTGAGTTCACCCAAACCAACATCCTTCTTGAACCCCAATCTCCGGCATTGCACCTCTAATTCTCTCCTGTCTGTCCAGCCTCTGCCTAAGACAACGACGACAGGATATCCAATCAATTCTGCATCCTTTAACTTCCACCCTAAGCTCTTTGCTACTCGATCATCCAATACTAGATCCACATCTCCATACCGACCTTCACCGTAGATCGCGTCGTACACTTCTGCCGCGTCGCTCTCATCGACCTTTGGAGACGTGAGGATGACGGCTTCATAGGGTGCTATCGCCCTTGGCCAGTTCAGTCCTTGAGCGTCTGAGAGCAGTGATGCGACAGCTCCGATGATACGCGAAACGCCGATACCATGGCAGCCCATTTGTATTGGAGAAGAGAGGTTTTGGTCAGGCAGTGCGACGACTGCGTTGAGGGGCTTGCTGTAGCGGGTGCCGAGGTGGAAGGTGTGGCCTACTTCGATGGCTTTCTGGACGTCGAGTTTTCCGTCCGAGCAGCGAGGACATGGATCGCCAGTTCCGACGGGCGTGAGATTTAGTTTGGAAGACAGAGGATTTGAGAGAGACCTATCGTTCTTATCAAAGGCAAGGGAGGGGTCGAAGAGGTCGATGGTATCTCTGCCCTTTCGGAGCAGAGAAGCGAGTGATGAGGATTCGATACCGGTGTCCAGCTCGATCTCCTCTGGAAGTGCTTTCTTGACAGCGTGAAGATTGACATGCTCATGTCTCTGTCTTACATTCGTCTCAGTTTCGGATGGACGTGGTATCCACACATTGATCTTTGTCTTCTTGTCGACGCTTATACCTGTGTACGCCAACCAGCTGTCGGTACATGACGCTACAGCTTGGCCGCTCTTTTCCACAAGCTCTTCGTTGGCGACGTAGTCGCATGAGTTGCAAGACCACACGTTGTCCTCGCCCTTTGGAGATATAAAATGATACTCGTGGCTCAGTTTGCCTCCCATGTTACCAGAATCGGCATCGGCGACTAGGTATGGCAGTCGAAGCTCATTGAACAGATTGTTATATGCTTCCCGTACTTCTTCGTAAGTCTTGAGCGCGGCTTCTGTTGAGTGATCGAATGTGTAAAGATCCTTCATCATGAACTCCTTGGCCCGTAAGAGTCCTTGTCTTGGTCTTCGTTCGTCGCGATACTTTCTTCCGATCTGATACAGCCTCTGTGGCAGATCTTTGTATGAATGTATCATGCTGGCTATAAGTGCTGTGATCTCTTCTTCGTGAGTTGGCGATAACAGAAAGCCAGATTCTCTCCTATCTTTGATGCGCAGGAGTTCCGAGTTGGCGGAGTAGCGACCAGACTGCCTCCATAACAATTCTGTAGTAATAGAAGAGAGCGAAAGTTTCGAAGCACCAATCGAGCTCATGTGCTTGTCGATTAGCGATTCAAGCTTGTTTTGAACGCGTAAACCTAGGGGTAGAAGATGAAAGACTCCGGAATGTGCCTGTGCATGATGAGACAAGTACTAGAAGTCAAGAGGTTGTAGATATATACCTGACGGAGAAAGCCACCTCTAACGAGAAGAGAGTGAGACTCATCTGAAGAGACGTTAGTCAACGTATGCTAGTCGCTCCCATGATTCTCACCTTGCTCGCTGTCCTGGGGTGATATCCCACCCGTTGGTGCCCAGAATTTGGATAAACGATTTCTTGAGTCGATCTAAGCCAATTATCAGCCTTTCAATCTAGATTATGAACTTGATTGGGACAGCTTACAGCTATATATCTAGCATGTCGAAAGCCTTGTATTGGTGTTCGCTGTGATCGCGATTGCCATGCAGCTCTACGAATATACGCCGCCATGCGCGCACCACAATGATGATATATGATCAACTTCAAACAGGAAGCTTGGAGTTACACTGTAGGTTTCAAGACAGAAAAGAGAGTGTGGAAATGTTGTATGTTCCGTAAATGGTGGACGACAGCGGGAGATCTGCCTCCAACATGACGAGCACAGACCACTTCGAATCTCAAAGCGCATGGAAATATTTGGAGATCGAACCCATCTCTCAATTGCTCCACAACCACATCTCACGTAAGTATAGCGATTCCCATACTGAGACAGTATATCTTGGGAAGGTGTTAATCGTCATTCAGAATGCCTCCACGGATACGCATCAGGCCACGCGCCCTCCGCGCCTGCACCTCGAACCCAACCCACCCCGTCTCTCTACCCGCAATCGCAACCTACGCCACAGTAAGAGCGACCACCCCCGCACCGCCAATCCAGCAGACATACAAAGCCGCACCGCCAGTACTACGATACCCACCCACGCAACCACCCTCTCACAAGCCGCCGGAGGTGCGCAAAACCCAACTCCACCGCCAATACCAATCGCTGCTCCGATCCTCGCCTCTGATCCTGATATTCCAGCACAACAATGTAAAAGCAGTGGAGTGGATGAGCATAAGGCGGGAGCTAGCCATTGCCCTCCGCAAGCTGGATGCCGAGAGAGTGAAGAACGGGCAAGAGACGCTTGCAGAGGAGGTTAAGATGCAGGTCATCCAGACCAACATCTTCGCAAGCGCACTGCGCGTCGTCGAGTTCTTCAACCCGGAGACTTCGACAATAGATCATGCGCAACATCCTACCGACCCGCGGACACCGACGAGCGCGCAGATACCGAACACGAGTAATGACGCAGCAGACGAGCGCTTCACACACGGTCTGTCGAGACGGGCATACGAGATTGCGAATAACAGGAAGTTGAAGTTGGAATTGGAGCCTCTGCTCTCGGGGCCCCTTGCTGTCGTAGCGTTCCCCGATGTTGCGCCGCAATACCTCAAGACTGTCCTGTCTATCCTCTCGCCTTCGAAGCCCGGATTCCCTGCCCCAAGCCGAAAAGCGAACCCGGACTACTACGAGCCAGCCGTCCAAGCTGGTCTCCAGAAGCTGATGCTTTTGGGTGCGAGAGTAGAGGGCAAGGTCTTCGATGTGGACGGTACAAAGTGGGTTGGTGGCATTGCGGGAGGTATCGATGGTCTCCGCGCTCAGCTTGTGCATATGCTGCAGGGTGTTGGTGGGAGTCTTACTGGTGCTTTGGAGGGCGCGAGCAAGAGTTTGTACTTTACTGTCGAGGGGAGGAGAATGGACATGGAGGAGAAGGAGAAGGGTCCCGAAGAGGAGAAGAAAGAGTGATTGCGAGAGCAGTGTACATTATTTGTATAGCCATTGACGCGGAATATACGAAATCGACGTACGAGGCTGAGGTATGGCATTGTCATTGTTTGTGTGCGTGTCGAATGAAGTCGATATACCCGATCTCGTTGTTTAATGGAGTATGAAGTTGTGTAACCTTTCTCTACTGTTCGCTTTCTAGAGACTTTGTTATGATGATCGTTGAGATCTCACGAAGTACCGTAGCGGCAAACCTCCAGGATATTTTCTGTAATAGTGAACGTTCGATTGAGGTCATTTCTTCTATCCTCAGGGCAGACTGTGAGTAGTAACTTCACTTCACTCCTCTTCACCACGCAAAAGTCAAGCCTTGATTTATACTTTACGATTCGATTCGTTTTATATAGGTATCCACATATGCTGCGTGGTATCCTAAGGGTATCATGAGGGATCTGCCTGCCCAAATATGCACACTTGGAAAGATTTGTAGTGGAAAATAAAAAGAACTCCCCTTCTTTCTTCGAGAGACAGAACTCGCGCGCGCGCAGACACACACAGAAAAAAAGACACAAACTCTAAACGTCCCTGGGCGCCCCAATCTGGTTCCTCGTATATATAGGAGAGGTATAGGAATGTCGTGGTCGTCATATCCCAATTCGCTCGCTCGCTTCACTCCTGCCGCGCATTATGCCAATAAAGAATAGTTTGGTGTGTGTGTGTGAGAGTGAGGGTTGGTGTGGAGAAGCATGTTCAGTCGAGCTCAATGTCGCCGTTGCTTTCGTGAACCGATTTTTCCGTTAAACGCCGATTGTGGAGAGAGATCCGTAACCCCGATGCTGCTAAGTTGATATGTGCGAAAGGAAAATCTGACGTCGCTATCGTCGTGCGCCGCCTACTTCGACCGAGTGTGATGTTCGTTCAAATTGGAGCTTTCGTCGCTTGTTCGCCATGTTCCCGCCGGGTGTGTCTTCGCCTCCGGTGGAGTCTGCATAGTCGTCTCCAAAGCCCTCGCCGTAGCCTTGGAATGCGGCATCGGTGTAGCCGCGCTTCGAGCTTGATCGCTCTGGCCTTACCGCACCCCGGTTCATATGGTTGGTCGGTGTTGGTGCGGAGGATGTGAAGGATGTGGCTCGCTGTGGTGGTATTTCCTGTGGTTTGGGTTTTACGGCATCGTCTGTGCCGAGATAGGCCTTGTATTTGGCAGCTTCTGCGTTGGGGAGAGGTCCAGGAGCTGTGCCTGCGAAGGCGTCGTCGAGAAGTCTGCTGAGGTTTGAACTCAATGCTGTGCCGTCTGCTGTCAGACCCTGCTTCTCGGGTTCTCTGTTCTGCACATGTTGCGACTGCCAAATCTCTTCGGGCATTAGCAGCAGATCCCGGAAAACGCCGTCCATCTTAATCGCTTTTGGCTTGCCGGCGATCTGCATCTGCTTGATATGACCCTCGTAGGACTTGCGAAGCTTGTTAATCTTCTCGCCTGTTACCGGGTCATTGCGGGCTACAGTGCTGGCGAGCGGGTTGAGCCTGTAGAGTGAGATGAAATTTTGCGAGGGTTGCGGCCGTGCTATCTCTATCTTCTCGCTGCTGAGTTTGAACAATTGACTGCCGCAAATGCCTTGGGCAGCTTTGAGTCGGCCGTCTTCGGTGTATGGCGATTCGGCTTGCCGGTTGTGGTTGGACAGCCTGTGGTGACGCAACCGCGTTATGTCATCGTCCGCGCTCTCTTCCATCGTCGCATCGCCATCGCTGTCGATATTGGCGCTCGACATGAAGCCGGCAGTGCTCGCGGGGGTCGGGAAGGGGTGCTGGTTGGATGCCGATGTTGCCGACTGGGAGAGCGAGGTCGACATGGGCAGGGAGGATTGCGGTGAGCGGTCCGACACGGCGGAGTTTGTCGTGGGGAAGCCTCCATTGGATTGCGAATTCATCGAGTAGGGTGGCGAGGTGGGCGTTCGAGGGTGAATGAGCGTCTTTGTCGTCTGGCCGCTCGCCTTGGCAGCGACGTCAAAGGGCGGGCTGGCGGGTGAGAATCTTCCTATCGAGTCCAAACGTTGCCGTTTCGCGCTGTGATCCGACATAGAGGCCGTCTTCGGGGGTGGAGCGAGAGGGGAGAGCTCGTCGGCGTGCGTGGAGCGTGCAGCGGTGGGTGAGAGGAGGGCTCGTACTGAAGCGCTTGGCGTCCTCCGCGCGGGTCGACCGCGGCAGCAAGGTGGGCGCGCTACTCGATGGTGCGCATGCGAAGAGAGCGGACGGCGGCGCTGGCGACGATGGGCGGCGGGCGATGGGGCGGGGCGTGGGCGTGGCGGGATGCGCAGGAGGGTTGTGGGCGGCTGAGGGTGCGAAGATGTGAAGGAGATGATGGGGTTGACCGGCGGTTTGGGCTCAGCGCTGTCTCGACTGCTCACGTGACGTGCCGGGGCCCATGGTCCGCCATCTAAAACCGCCTTTCGTGTTAGGGCGTGTCAACCATTCATCGCCGCTGCAACAACAAGACAACCAGACAAAGCATCGCCATACCCTGTGCATCTTTGATGTATGGATGACAACAGGCCGCGCGCCGGTGCCTCTGCTGCGGCCGCCTCACCTGGTGCAGCGCCGACTGCGCGCCCCGAGGCATCGAATCCACCCGCGCCGAGCAATGCGCCCAAGATCCAGCAGCCGAAACCCCAAGCTCTGCCATCGCGATCCGGCCCCAGCGCCATCCTGGTCTCGCCGCGACAGAAAGGCAACCCCATCCTCAACAGCGTGCGCTCCGTCGCATGGGAGTACTCTGACATTCCCGCCGACTATGTCGTCGGTGCCACAACATGTGCCCTCTTCCTGTCGCTCAAGTACCACCGTCTGCATCCCGAGTATATCTACAACCGCATCCGAGACTTGAAGGGCCAGTACAGCCTGCGCATCCTCCTTACCATGGTCGATATTGAAAATCATGAAGATCCATTGAGAGAGCTATCCAAGACGTCATTAGTCAACAACGTCACAGTCATGCTATGTTGGAGCGCACCGGAAGCCGGTCGCTATCTGGAACTTTTCAAGACATTCGAGAACGCTGCACCGACCAGCATTCGCGCTCAGCAAGCAGGCACTTATTCAGAGAAGATGGTCGAATTCATCACCGTACCACGCAGCATCAACAAGACAGATGCAGTAGGCTTAGTCTCTAATTTTGGAAGCATCCGCACTGCAATCAACGCTGGGCCTGAGGAAATTGGCCTAATAGCAGGGTGGGGTGACAAGAAGGTTCAACGATGGTGCAACGCCGTCAGGGAGCCCTTTCGGGTCAAGAAGGCAGCGCGACGAACCGTCGGTCAAGACAGCGGTGCAGCGACCATGTCACGCGACATCTCCATGGCAGAAGGCGAAAGCCAGATGCCGCCGACAGCGGATGCTGATGATACAGCACATCGCAGGGTGGACGATGCCGGGCCTCTTGCACTGGAGCTGGAGAGATCCGCTCCTTTTGCAACTTCAGGGTCGGATGCAGACAAACGACCCGATCATCGCATCGCTGAACATCTCAACCAGGACGATGAAGAAGCAATGCGTGAGGCAGAGTTGGGTGCAGTCCCACGAGGCAATGAGACTCAACCCACTGCTCCAAAACCAGTGAAGCGGAAGCAGGCAGAAGAGGAAAACATGAGCGAGGGCGTCATGGCTGCACTCAGCAAGTTGAGGAAACAATGAACAATGTTCTACAACACTTTCGAAAATGCGACATGTGACTTTGCCCAATTGATGGGCAACAATCAATCCCTGACGTTCACTTTTCAAAGTCCGCTGTGATCAATACAGCATCGTTTGCAATGGCTATCGCGAACAAATTCCATGTGCAGCATGCCGTCATGCGCCCTCTCATTGGTGACCCCACTCTGGTCCTCGCCCTGCAGCTGCAGCCTAGCCTGCCCACATGCACCTACTTCACTCGGTAGCAAACACATTCAGCCTTACTCCTTCAGCCCAACCACCATTCCTTTAGACACATCGATAGACCTGCTTCTCATTGTGAGCACGTCAAGTTCAGCCATACACATCGAGACTCTTTTAGCAGCCAAATACTACCAGTCACTATCGCCCAAGATGGGCAATTTCACGCAGTTGCCAGCCGAACTCCAGATCCAGATCTTCGACTACCTCCACGCTCCCGACGTCAAATCCGCGAGAGCTGTGAGTAGAACGTTCCGAAACAATGCTACGCCTGCGCTGTTCCGCAGTATCGTTGCTTGTGCAAGATACCAAGCGCTAGGCGCTTTCCAAAACGTAAGTCCAAGACAAACCCTGAAGGCACCCGCACTATCTTTCGTAATGAGGAAGTCAGTGTTAAGCCCCACGTATCCTCAAGACCATGGTTTGGTATCAACTAGGTAGAGTATGGACATATTGGCTAACGACACGAACAGGTGTCACTACACTCGATATACTCAGGTTATGTAAGAGAGATCATCTTCGATGGAACACTATACGATGGGCATCTCGCGAAAGACCATCGCAACTACTCTCGAGCCGAAGAAGTTAGCGGCAAATTCCAATCCGGATCGTTCTACGCAATGCGAACCAGGTGGAAAAGATACCAAGAGCTTCACAAGGAGCAAGAGAGCATGAAGGAGGATGGCGTCTTGTTACAATCATGCGCACGAGGCCTTGAGAACATGCATAATATCTCGTCCATCGTTTACTCGCCATATCAACACACCGTCCCTATGGAGGTCAAGACACTGCGCGATCTGCTTCCAAGAGGAGCTCTTCCGCGCACACTCGCCGATAATCGCACCACTGAATCTGATCACCCCTTCCGCCAATTGATTGGCGCCATCTTTTTGTCGGATTACACCGGAATCCGGCAGCTCACCATCGAAGCACCTCGCGAAGACCATCGTCACACTGAGTTCTCTTTGAAAATGTTCACTTTCCCAGACACCAACGATCTGAACGCCGGGAGACATCTCTTCCGAAATTTGGTTAAGCTAGACATAAGCTTATCTATCCTCAACATACCGAGTCATACAACGCATCCTATGACTGAGATGGACTCCTCTGAACGACAGCTTGAGAACCTCGCCAAAGTCCTTGAGGCTGCCCAGGAGCTGCGGCACCTCTCCTTTGGCATACTGAATTGGAGGTATCTTAACGAGCTGATGTGGGATGGGACCAGCATTCCAGAAGGACGTTCTGTCATCGATCTAATCGGCCTTGGGGCAACATGGCCGAAGCTCCGCTCATTGAAGCTCGAAGGCATATACGCCAGAGAGCGCGATCTGTGTGAACTGATCGACCGACACAAGGACACCCTCAGAACTCTCACCTTCGCCAGAAGCACTCTGCACGCAGGACTATGGATCGAAGTCGTGAACGAGGTTGTTTTCAATGCGTCTATGATCACAACATTCGTGTTGGACCAAGTCGATGAGAATCACGGCGGATATGGAACCGGCACCAACGGGAGTTTAGAGGGATATGAAGGTCGGTTGATCGTGTCCGAAGGTGGAGAACGCGAATTTGTACGCAGCAACCCGATCTTTGGTCTTTATTTCGTCCTGCTAATCATGTTAATGTATAGGTCAACACCAACCCAGACAAGCACTCGGTTCACGACGCCCGCAACAACGCAGCAAACGCAGCATGATTCACTAGTCCATTACTTCGCTACCCATCTTGACGCACACCAATGGCTTGGTATTGGCGATTGCTTAGGCATTCCTTCATCTTGGTAGCATGAATCAGGTATTAGCTAATAGTCATACATTGTTCTGCTGGCTACATACATCCGCATCCTCATTTCTTTGCTCATTCAATGTGATCTAGGCCGCAAAGCTTTAATCTGGTCCTCGCGACGATACGAGAGCCTAGTACCAGAGAGCCGTTGCTCGGCTGCCCTATATGCAGGACTGCCGATCTGTGCTCTAGACGCCATCACGACCTGTTTCCAACTGCGTACCCATTCAGGATCTTCGTCTGAGCCTGTCTGCGACACTTCATCATCGTCTTCGTCATTCTGCCCTCTCTTGCACTCTTTTAGGACATCGCCTTCTTGCTCCTCTATCTTCCCCTGCGCCTCCAGGCAACTAGAACATGAACCTTCCGAGTCCTGCTCTACCGCCCTCTCCTTCCCCTTCCAGACCTTCTCCTTTACTGTTTCAGCAGAATCTGTCTCAGAGTCTGTCTCCGTTCCGTTGATGCCCTTCCGCATCTCCGCTTCCCCCTGTATCGCCATCTCTTCCCCATCCCCCACATCCACCTTCTCTTCCCCAACCCCCACATCAACCTTCTCTTCCCCACCACCCTCCTCCCCCTCCCCCTCCCCCCCTCTCCCGCCCTCCCTCCTCTCCCCCTCCGCATGCCCCTCCCCCAACCCACCAATCCACTCCGCCGTCCTCACCCTCCTCAACTTCCTCAACCGCGTCCTCTCCGCATAATCAATAATCTCACCTCCATCCCAGCTATAATCTATCCTGCCAATCTCGGCCTGACTGTCTGCTACCCGTCGCTCTTGCCATTCCACCCACCCGTTACTTCCGGGTGCACAATAGCTGCGCACGTCGTCGTCGCGGTGGTGGATGCGTGCGGCGACTGGTTGCCAGGATGGGGTGTGTTGGCGGTGGGGGAGTTGGGAGATTGGGACTGGTGGGCGTGCGGTGGTAGTCGTGGTTGTGGTGGTTGTGATGGTTGGGTTTGGGGCCTGAGTTGGTGGACGTGGATGGACTTGTGGTGGAGGGGCGGGGGCAGAGGTAGTGTGCTGGATTTGAGGCTGAATTGTGGGTTCGTTCGAGGCAGTTGGGTTTGGAGATGGGATATGTGGTGGTGGATTGCTTGTGGAGGGGTTTGGTGGCGCAGTGACGGGGGCTGGTGAAGATGGTATTGATGCTAGACTTTGAGAGAGGATGGATGTGTTTGCTCTTTGAAGGGAAGGTCTAGCTGCGTCTGCGGCTTCCCCTGCGTTCGACATTTTGGATTATGTGAAGAGTTGGGTTGGCGCTGTGGCGTGGGGAAAGGGAAAGAGAAAAGGGACTCTCTAGAGAGCCATAGTGTATACTGTACAAAAGGTCATGTTCAGTCGGACCATGGTAGCAGAGAAATCTTCTAGAGAAATATGTGACGGTTCATTCATAAGGCAACCCTGGTGTTGGTGGGCTGGAAGATTTAGCATTAAACCTTGGTACGCTATATCAGTACCATATGATATATATCTGACTCCCCAAACATGAGGACCAACCAAATAATAAACAACAGTCATCAATCGTCAATTCAAGCCCTCTCGACCCTCTCAGTAGCACCCTTAGCGTCATTGTCCACAACAACACTGTGGTGCCTTGCCGGGTCCTTCTCCTCAATGGCCGCGCCTTCAACAACATGGTTCTGACCACCAAAGATTGCGTCCATCTCCTCGAGACTAACCTTCTTAGTCTCGGGAACGAAGAACCAGACAAATGCGGCTAGCAGCATGTTGATGGCGGCGAACATGTAGAAAGCGTAGAAGCCCTCGTTCTTGAGGAAGACGGGGAAGAACTGCTGGACGATGGAGTTTACGACGTTTTGGGTTTGCGAGCACATGCCCACGGCTTGCGCACGGATGTTCATGGAGAAGATCTCGGCGGTGAAGATCCATACTGTTGCGCCCCAGGAGGGTTTGTCTGTGGTGGTTGTTAGTGTGTGTTCGTGTTGAGATGGTACTGAGAGGAGATGACTTACAGAAGAGAGCGAACAGGAACATGAGGAACACGATCGCGATACCAACTGGTTCCGACTTTGCGCCGCTGGGTAGGGTAGGTGTCTGTGTCTCTACAGTGGCAGCGATGAGCATGCAGATGCCCATACCGATACCACCGACGATGAACAGGAACTTGCGTCCAAAGCGGTCGACAGTCCAGGTAGCGTTTAGTGTGAAGATGATGCTGAACGTAGCGTTCAGAGCGTTGATGAGAGAGATGGTGTCAGCGCTTGTGAAGACCTTCTTGTAGATGATAGAGCTGTAAGAGTTGAGTGTGCCCTGTCCAGTGATCTGCTGACCACCGTTGACAATCATCGCAATGTACATGCGCTTCCTGACAGACTTGTCCTTCCACAGAGCAGAGAAGCCGGAGGAGATTGCTTCGGCTTCGAATTCGATAGCCTCGCGGATGGTGGTGATCTCATCTTCGACATCCTGCTCGGTAGCACGGACACGGCGAAGCGAGCGGCGAGCCTTTTCGTAGTTGCGGTTCTTCTGGACGTACCAACGGGGCGACTCCGGGATGAAGAAAACTTGGGAGAGGATCAGGATAGGCACCATCATCTGGAAAATGACTACCATCTTCCAGTCCCACTCGCCGAGTTTCTGGGGGTTCTTGGAGGTGCCGAAGGAGATCCAGTATGCGATGAAGGAGCCAACGGAATAGAACATCTGCCAGAATGACATGATCTTTCCACGGATCTCAGGAGGTGAGAGTTCTCCGATGTAGATAGAGCCAGCCGTTAATGCGAGACCTTGTCCAATACCGATGAGGACACGACCAGCAATGAAGACACCGATTTGTCCGCGGGGGGCGAATGTTTGCATGATGGTCGCGATGATGACGCATACAGATCCAGCAGCCATACCAACTCGACGGCCAGCGAAATCAGCGAGGGGTCCAGCCTGCACACAACAAAGTTAGTACACGTTTTGCGGGCTGATGATATACAGACGTGACGTACCATGAAGAAACCAGCTACGACAGCACCGACTGTGTATGATGTGTTGATGGCGCCGATGATGTTGGGTCCGGGGTTGTTGTAGTAGGCAATCCAATGCTTCGAGTTTTGCAACGCGTTGAAGACGGACGCATCGTAACCGTAGAGCACCATGCATGATGCTGCAACGAGCGAGATGTACCAGTTGTACACCCTAGTCTTGTCGACCATCTTGACGGTAGTCACTCAGGATTTCTCCCAAAACGAAAGTAACAATAGCGCTCGACTTGGTAGCGATTGACAAAGGCGTCCAGCTCGAATTCCGCAACGGATACAGCGAGAGATTCGTAGAGCTCTGGAGTGGAGAGCAATCAGAGGAGACTGCGATGGGCATATATACATGCCACATGAGAAGCCACCCTGTGGATTACTATCTTGCCCCATGTCAACCCCATGGGCTCGGGGAAGCGCCAGTTCCAGCACCCAGGATCCGATGCCTACGCCGCTACCAGACGCCTCTATCCAGAATATCACCACGAATCAACATGCCCAGACCGCCTCCAAAGCTTGCTCTAGTGCCAAATGCATCCACGCCTAGCACTTCGTTCTCCGTAGTCCCTGAATCTGGGGAATCTGGGGCTTGGGACGGGAGTGTCAATGGAGAGATTTTGTCCATCTGATGGACGGAGAGGCGTCGTCGAGTTTTTCCACGAATGGGCGTAATAGAGCTAAGTGTTGAGGCGCCGTTGTTTTGAGGAGAAGCGAGACCGACTCATGCCGAGATGGTGTTTAGTGCGCCATCTAGCCCGTGAGTAGCTAGGTTTGCCGGCGACAATGTCGATAATGGGTAGAATTTCCTCGTGGACGCAAGCATGCCAAGTCAGAGACAAGGAAGACGCAGCGAAGCAAAGCTTTTGGCTGCCGCCTGGGCTCTCTTATTTTGTGATTGATTGAGGCTTAAAACTGCGAGAGTGGTTCTTGAGAAGCGCATGTGTGGCGCTGATGCCACAGTCGAGTCGTAGAGAGAGCGTCGGATCATTATGGACGACTTCATGTTGTGAACGGAGAGTAGGTATCACATGAATCATGCTAGAGAACATCGCTTGATAGCCAGCTGTGGAGTTCGGGTGGGTCGGCACATTGGTTGCGGGCGGTGACCATCATATCGCATCCTCCAGAGATGGGCACGCGGGGAGCCAACAAACGAACGAGCCTAAGCCAATATGCCCCTAAGATGTTCTCGGGCAACACCACGCGACGCGCATGTGTTTTCGGTGATGAACTGTTACAGGTGCATATGACATGCCGCGGTATCCCGGGTCGCTAGATGAGCCTCATCAGCGCTGAGATGAGCTCCAGATTCCCCAGCTCTGGGACCAGCACGTGATCGATCACGTGTGATGATCCGCCACAGCTCTGTGGCTGTGCGCATCCCACTTTTTCGGGCGTCGAGACCCTTTCCCACCGCCCGCGACCGCCTAACGTTTTCGACGCCCGACCAAATCTTTCGACTCTCTCACCTACACACCGAAGACCGGGCTACCAAGACAACCGATTTTTTCAAGATGCCTTCAGGACAAGGAGGTGAGCGCCATAACCTTTGCGCAAACTAAAGCGGGGTCAAGGCTGACAGAACACCACAGCCGGTACAAACCCCATCCACAACAAGCAGAAGAAGAAGAAGGCCGTCGAGCTCGACGAGGATGACCTCGCCTACAAGCAAAAGCTCGCTGCTGGTGCGTAACGCCCTAGATCCCATTCTCCGACGCCTATACTACGATCGGCCCCGAAGCGCCACCACAAGGCTCCGAAGAACAAGGACAGACGTGCTGACAATATACAGAGAAGAAGCAGCGTGAGGACCTAGCCAAGACGGTCGGCAAGGGCAAGGGACCGCTCAACACCGGCTCCCAGGGCATCAAGAAGTCCGGCAAGAAATAAGCGCCCGACATACCCACGAGCGAGCGAGCAAGCGAAGAGACACGGCAATGCGGCAACGACGACGATTTGACATGAAAGATACCACAGGCTGAGAGTCATGACTTGGCAGGGCGTTCATATACACATATCATGAATGCACAGGAATGAGCTATCAATGACCTTTGCGCATGCCAGGTGACTGTTTTCTACATTTTCGCTACCTGCAATTTAGGTCGTCCCAGTCTCCAGATACAGACTACCTCCTCCCTGCCTTCATGTTTGCCCCCTTCAAATTAAACACCGTTTCTGCGTTCCCCCACGCCACCCTATCCCACTCTACCTGCGTCAAGAATCCGCTCTCCCTGAGTTCCTCCATCAACTCTTTCCCTCTTTCTTCAAGCGGGTAGTTGCTCGCATACAACACCCTGTCTACGGGTATCCGTTCCAGTAGCGCTCTTAGACTCGACATGTCTTGTGCGTCCGCTGTCGTGAGGTAGATATTGTGTTGCCAGACATCTAGGAAACTCCGCTTCGGTTTATCTGCAGAGGGGATAGTGGTGAGGAGCATCTCGATGCGTGGAATGAGCGAGGGTAGCGCGCCCGGATGCGCGAGTATGAGACGGAGAGCAGGGTGGCGGTCGAAGA